ATTCAAGTGCAGAGCTTTGCTGTGAATATTACAAAAAAGGGGAAAAAGAAGCATTATTAGATGAGCAAAATCAATTTTCCTTTAGTTATTATTCAGATACATAACATGTTCTCGTACCTCTTTAAATATCTTGGTCCAGGCGGAATGGATAATCTGGCCTTATTGTCTAAAACAGAAAATTGCTTGTGTACCTGTATTGAATAATTCTTTTCATTCCTTCATATGTCAAATATTTGTCAGTGTAAGAATTGAAAATCCTTATTGTAGTAATTGATGATGTAGTAATTGGTCGATCAATCACTTATGTAAGTATTGGTTGAAAAAAATCAGTGTTACTGGACATAGAATAGATGAAAATACGATAGTACTCCACTTCACATGAGCTAATCCTATCCTCACTTTAATCTTCACTAGCCTTGCTATCCAAACATCGAGAGTACATAGAAAAAGTTGAAAACAAACCTTGAAAACAAATAACTGAAACTGTTTGAATATTCCAACATGTGTAATCAAAGAATAGAATAGTTGACTTGTTATGATTGATAATAGTACCAGTGTAAGGAGGAAGGAAGATTTGTGTAATTATTATTTTTTTTATATATTATACCTGGGATGAATATGGTATTAAAAGGAATTGGGTAGGAGTACGAGGGAATGTCTTTTAGCTGTGTCACGGCTATATCATCTCGCTAAGTGAACTTAATAAACTCTTTAGTTATCGCAGATTTTTTAAAAATCAGATTCATCTTAGTAGCAGAAATATGATTAATCATGGACATCCGATGAAACCACGCCAAGAGACTTTGAGTCGCCAGTAGGTGCTCCCTGTGTATGACTGTCACTTGTACCACATGTGACTCTGTCAGTGCCGTGTCAGATTTGGCAGTGAGGCATGGGTGTTCTTAGTCCTCATCGGAGTTACCACTGTAACCACAAGTTCAATGAATGCGATGCTGGAGCTGTGATTTTGGGATTGATTGGAGTTAGTAATTAAGGATTACCTGTATAACATGTTGTAAGAATTTAAATGAAATTATAACACAAGTAATAGATTTGAAAAATTTAACTGAATTACAGATGTTGTAATGGTTAGTAAATAAGTTACAAATCTCCCCCATAGTTACCACCATTACCTCATGGTATGTGGTAATTGTGGTAATATGGTCCGCATCCACATTACTTTTAAATTAAGATGGCATTGAATGCAAAAGCAAATAGAAACTGGTTATTTGGATTTATAGACTACTGCACTTGATTAATGGGAAATTTCTCATTTGTACTGTTATTTTCAGTGAAAGGATTTTTCAGGGAAAATGGTAATTTTTGATGAATTGATGAAGAATATAGGCGTGGGTTTTCTTCCAAAAGAAATTGATTGTATATGGATGAGTTTTTTTTTTTTTTTTTTTTCTTTTCTTTTTTCTTCCATGTGTGCTGGTAATGCATATGAAAACATTAACTTGTAAATCTTTGTATGGTAGGAATTCTGAAGTGGAGGTATGATTACATATTTACTTATTCATATATTTATTCATCACATAACTTTTGAGCTGTTACCTCTATTCATTTCTTACTTGAAATGTAAATATTGACATCCTAAATCTGCTTATACAGACCTTTAACATGGTCATAAATATTCCACATAGTTACAGCTTCAGATGCATTGCATGATATTAAAAAAATTCAAGCATCATGATCCTTATTCTTATTCATATTCTCTTTCTTTCCCCTTCATCTTGTTGTTATTATTGTTTCTTCTTCTCATCCTCCTTATTCTTAATCTCTTTCTTTTCCTTTTCCTCCTTTTTCTTATTCTTATTCTCTTTCTTCTCCTTATTTTTAATCTATTTCTTATCCTCTTTCTCCTATTCCTCCTCCTCCTTCCCCTCCTCCTCTTCCTCCTCCTCCTCATTTTCCTCCTCTTCCTCCTCCTCCTCATTTTCCTCCTCTTCCTCCTCCTCCTCATTTTCTTCCTCCTCCTCCTCATTTTCCTCCTCCTCCTCCTTGTTTCCACCTCCTCCTCCTGCTCCTTATTCTTCTCCTCCTCCTCCTCCTTATTCTTCTTCTCCTCCTCCTCCTCCTCCTCCTCCTCCTCCTCCTCCTCCTCCTCCTCCTCCTTCTTCCTGTTCTTCTCCTCCTTCCTGTTCTCCTCCTCCTCCTAGTTCTCCTCTTCCTCCTTTTTCTCCTCCTCCTTCTTGTTCTTCTCTACCTTTTCCCTGTTCTCCTCTACCTTTTCCTTGTTCTCCTCCTCCTCCTCCTTGTCCTCCTCCTCCTTGTCCTCTTCCTCCTTGTCCTCCTCCTCCTTGTCCTCCTCCTCCTTGTCCTCCTCCTCCTCCTCCTCCTCCTCCTCCTCCTCCTCCTCCTCCTCCTTCTCCTCCTCCTTCTCCTCCTCCTTCTCCTCCTTCTCCTCCTCCTCCTCCTCCTCCTCCTCCTCCTCCTCCTCCTCCTCCTCCTCCTCCTCCTCCTCCTCCTCCTCCTCCCCCTCTCATTTGAAGAAGGTATGTGGAATTAAACTTTAAGTCTGTGTGTTGTATACAATTTTAATGTTATTTTTGCTCCTTATGAAAGTTATGAAAGGTTTATTCCTTTCACTGAATATGGCATACAGCTCCACCACAGATGGCATGTAGGAAAGCCATAACTGCCTTTTCTCGCACCTCAGAAGAAATATATTTTTCACAAAGTTCAATGTAATGCCCATGTCAGTTGTCAGAATTGACCCATACATTCAATATATTCTTACATTTGGTAAGGAAGGACCAGGGATAGGCAATCAACAATACAATATGTCAAACATCAAACTATTCGGTCTGTCTTCTGCAAACAGCCAGCATGTGACAATGAGCCTATTCCTGGGTCATTAGGAATAATTCAGTAGAGGGGTGAAGGAGAGCGCAATAATAATTAAGCAGTCATATGTCTTTGCTGCATTACTTGAGGGATCAAGAAATACTGTCCATTTAAAGTGTGAAACATAATCTCTCTTTTATGGTATTTTTAATTGCAGTAAGCATTTTCTTGGCTTCCAGACATTTTTGAAGGAGGAATAACTGAAATGTAAAGAAATATATTACTCACAATTATGTATTTGTAAAGAGAGGAAAATGGATTTGAGAAGAGTGGAGAATCTGTGATGACATACCTCAGCTGTAGAATTTAATTCCCACAAAGTTTTGTACAAGTCATCACTGGGAGAACTCGTGTAGCTTGCATATAGACGTCTGCATGAGAGTAAAAATTCATACCCTGAAGAAGTGCAGCTGCCGTATGAGAGATTTTTCATTACAGTCTAGAGGATTTTGTCATGTTCGCATGAGCAAGTGTTTCTGAAAGGTGTTGGTGCGTATAGAGATACAAATGAGATGATGATTTTAACTATTCATTGCCATTTTTTAATCTACCAGGCTATTGGATGTAATCATAGCTGTATATGTTGTTCTGGTTCTTCTGTGAAATTCTTTTCCTATGTATTGTGTATATTCGTTCAGATTAGATTGAAGAAGAAACAAAGTATTTGTTTATTGAACAGAAATACTTCTGAGCTTGGGAGAATTTGTTTATTTACCACATCTATTAGTATAGACTGTACATAAGTATTGTGTATTTAAGTTATCCATAAGGGTTTTTCATTTTCAATTTTTTGTTTTTGTTTTTATATTGTAATATTTTACGACTGTAACTCTCATACTTTTTTTTATTTAATCTTCTGCCTTAATTCACCTACTATTGAGTATTTTGTCAATATTTAATATTTATGCAGTTTATTCATAGATTTATTTATTATTATCATTGTTGTTTGATATTATTGATTATGAATAGACATAGCAAGGTTCTGCATTGGTTAAAGCCAAATGTGTAGTACACTCTTTAAAACTGTGCATTTGAATATGTGACTTTACATGGTAATTTTTTTATTTTATATTCTTGTATGCTGGAATTAAGTAAATAATTTGGTAAAGCATGAATGACAAGGAAAAAAATTCTAATCTACACTTGCTCCCCCCCTCCCTAAAAAAATTCAAATAATGGGCTATCTAACACAATGGAAAGTGAAAAAAAGTTATGCGCTGTGTGATGCATTGACAAGGGTCCTGTACTCTGAAAAACATGACAACGTTACTGCTATATTGTGATGTATTATTATCACTGTTGGATGTATTGTGCTCTCATATGTAGAATTTTTTTGATTGTCATGTTGGTGGAGTGTGTTCATTGCTATACAAAATGGAATGTTCAATGTGAAAATACGAGGGTAGAGCTTAAGGGAATGGGAATAAGTGTGGTCTTGGTCTTGTTTTGTTTCTGTTGGTGGTGTTGATGGTGTTGTTTCTGGTGGTTGCAGTAGATAATCATGGTTGGTTGGCATTCTTTACTATTTGTTTTGGTTTATGCTCAGTTTATTACATTGCCACAAACACTGTATAGTTCATGTAACGCAGCAATTTTATTCCAAATGTTGTTCCATCATGTTGCAGATACTCTTTCGGAGGATAGTCTTTTTAGATGCTGTTTCTCTTTCTACCCCATGATTATGGATTGTGCCTCTTAACCCTTCATATGTGCAGGTGTATATATTGTCCATTGTGACTTTTGACACAACAAGAGTCAAGTAGAAGCCTAAGAAGACTCCATCTTGCTTCATTTTTTTCTCATGTGATCAAAATAGATATTGGTGTTGGTATTGTACTTATGATTATTATAATGTTACTAAGATACTAATAGCATTGAAATAAAAAATAAAAATCAAGGAAAGGATAAAGAAGTGAGATACGTTAGATTTGAAATTGACTCCTTGGTGACTAAGTTCTTTGGTGAACAATCAATAAACTAAAATCACAGTGGATGTATTATGCATGCCATGCTATCCCAGCATCCTAGTGTGAAGGGTTAAAAGTACAAGTATGCAATATATTCAGATTGCAGTAAATTATCTGCCAGGAACAAAGGGTCTCTTCCCAAAGCCCCATGCTAACTCTCGTCCCTTTCTGTCTTCTTTGCAG